AGTAGAAATGGGGTCTCGCTCTTGCTCAGGCTGGTTTCGAACTCCTGAGCTCAAACAATCCGCCCGCCTCGGCCTCGCAGAGTGCTAGAATTACAGGCATGAGCCACCGCGCCCGGCCTTATCGTGTAAATTTTTAAGAAAATTATCATGGCCAGTTTCAGTTTAGTTGATAAAGAACTAGAATTCTTTCCCCCTCAAAATAGTGACATTCCGAACTAACATAATTTTTTCATCATGTAGCCCCACAAAAGCCAGACTTGCTAAGAGAGAGAAAAATAGGTGGGGGAGAGGAAGAGGGAGCAGGAGAGAGAGGTGAGAGCGTAAGAACAAGAATTTAATCTCAATTCAGACTGGCCTCATTAAAAACAAAACAAAAAAACCCAAAACACAAAAAACTTAAGGTACCATACTTACAAAGAAACAAATGAGATTCTAAAAAGCAAATAAACATACATATCTTTTCTCCTATTAAAGTATGATTTATTATCAGATACATCTGAAAAAATATAAATATGAAAATGGTGATCCACATTGCCTTGTAAAAATTTTAATTATGTGCTCGCTTCGGCAGCACATATATACTAAGAATTTTTTTCCTTCAGAGTAGAGGAGGGAAAAATGAAATAAAAAAAAGAAAAAAAAATACTAAGAATTTTAATTAGTTATGACATACCCCATTATCACTCAGAGGCTTCGATACAGGGAGTCACTTGTCTTAAAATATTACCTACTTCATTTTAGGAGCTAAATATCAACATATGGAAAAGGGCTATCGAAGATACGAAGTAGCTCATTTGAGTCATGAAACAACCGTAAGGGGTAGGGCAAGTTGGTATTACTTGTCATTCACAATATGGAAGTTCAGAGAAATTAAGTGACTTGCCCAAGGATTAAGGGCACTCCCATGATATTTTTTATGCCAAGTCAAAAAGGCGTCATTTTTGGCTATAAAAGACTCCAGGATACTGTTTTGACAATAGCAAAAAGCCCCAATTTACAGCAATTAAGTCAATAACAAACATATTTCAAAAGGGAGATTAAATGAGTAACAATGTTTAGAAAGCTACTTACTACTCCAATGTGGCAAAGTAAAACTGAACTTTGAGGGTTGATATCAAGCGCTTTCTGGAAATGCATTTCTGCAAGGCTGAATTTTTCTTGCTTGTAATAAATCATTCCTAAACCATACCTAAAAGTATAAAACAAAGTATAATTTTAAGGATATGAACTTTTGGTTGCTAATTTAGTTTAACTAGTAAAAGGATATGTATGGAACTTGGCATTTTAATAAAACAGTGAAAATATCTGGTGGTCTTGGAAGACAAAAAGTATCAACCATGATAAAAATCATTAAAGCATTTTAGAAGAGTCACTCTTACAAGTAAAAACAGTAACTCAAATCAATCAAATAAAACTATGATGAGGAAATGAGAAACCGTATCCTTAAACTTATCCCTACAATTTAGATTTAATAGCTAGAGTGGTTATTATGTGTATACCAAGAACTTTGCTAAATTATCTCATTTGATTCTAGGAGGAATCAAGAAGGAGGGAGGTACTGTTAACATCCTCATTATCAAATACGGAAACTGAGGCTTAGGGAAGTTAAATAACTTGCTTAAAGTTATATAGCTAATAAGGATTCTAACCAGATCCTTCATGATTCTAAAGCTTGAACTTCTAACAATGTCATTTCCATATTCTTTGTCCAAATGCATTTTATATCATTATAATTGTAGTATACAGTGTCATGTTCAGCTTTCCTTCCCCCCACTTACTGTTATCAAAAACATGCTCCTATGTTTGTAGTCCTCAAAATCATCATTTTTAAAGGTTATACCTCATTTCTGAAGGATAGCATTGGAAAAAAAGGCTATTTATTTAGTGTATGAGGTTGACACAGGTATTTCTCTTGAATTTTTGAAACATCAAATGAATATAGTGTGGATGGTTTACATTAAGGAGACCTCTCTTGTCCATAACTAGATGATAATGATGGGGAATAAGCACCAAATGAATTAAAAAAAAAGAATAGTATGTGTTTTGAGTGGTTTTGTTTATAATGGTATTATAGGTGAAGAACAGATATAAAAAACTCTGTGATAATGATGGTGAAGGAGGAGATAACAAAAGATAGGCTATTTACTTTGGAATTAGAATAATAAATTTGCTAAGTATTTAGAATTACCTAAATAACTCAGTATTTAAATTCCT